AATATTTTAGTGAACCCTCTGACTAACCCCTTGTACAAGAAAGTATGCCTTGATTTGGACTTTCATCTCAGGAAGTTTTTAGCCAACTATGAAAGACGGATTTCTTCTGTGCAAATGTCAGGAGGCTTTTCGGGTACATACGTAACAAGTTGCAGTCTAGAGGCTTTTCCACTCTGTTTGATGATTTTGGCAAAGAATGTGTAAACGATGTTGATAAAGCAGAAGCTTTGGGGAAGTATTTTGCGAGTGTGTTTGCTGATGACCATGCTGTTAGCTATCCTTCATTTCAGACTTACCCCCAGCACATATGTGATACTATATACTTTTATTGCTGACGTTCGCATTATTCTAAGATCTTTACATCCCTCCTGCTTTGAACCTTATGATGGAATCCCACCTATAATTTATGAAAAATGTGCCAATATACTTTTTAAACCTCTCTCAGACTTGTTCAATCTCTCTATGTATTATGGTGAAGTACCAGTCCTATGGAAAAAAGTTGTGGTTGTGCCTATTCCAAAGACTAGTGCAGCTGTCAAAGTTTGTGATTTTCGTCCCATAAGTCTTACTTCAACCCCAATCAAAGTGATGGAAAAAATCATAAGAAGAAAACTATTGTCCTGGATCAAGAAAAAACATGGTATTCCAGCTCAATTACATGGTTTCGTTTCGGGAAGATCTACTTGAGTTTGACAAGATTCCTCATAATGTTCTAATCATAAAGTTGCAAAAGTTTGGAATCTCTGGCAAGCTTTTGAATTGGTTCCGCTCCTACCTTCAAGATAGATTTATGACTGTCAAAGTTGGGCAGTCGTTCTCCGGTGAGTACCAGTGCACTAGTGGGGTACCTCAGGGAGGTGTACTCTCCCCACTTCTGTTCTTGATATTCACTTTGGAGTTACCTGCTTTGATTTCTTTGAGTGGGGTTGATGTCCAGATCTACGCGGACGACATTGAACTGTATGCGTCCTACAATGAATATGATTCCTTTGACATGCATCAGTCGTTGCAAGCAGCTATAGATAAGTTGAATATGTGGGCTTTATCTAATGGTCTTTCTTTGAATCCAAGTAAATGTTCGTTTTTGCATTTAGGTAAAACTTGTCCACATAAGTATGAAATCAATGGGACAGATTTGTCACCATGCCCACTAGTCAGAGATTTGGGTGTTTTTGTTGATTCTCACTTAGATTTTTCCAAACATATTGATTCTGCTGTAAAAAAAGCATATTCGGCACTTTTTGCAATATTTCGTTGTGTTCACACTTCTAATCCAGTCATTCTTACCAGACTCTATAAGGCTTATGTATTACCACATCTTGAGCACTCCTCACAAGTATGGAATCCTTCCAAAAAGAAAGAAATTATGAAGATTGAGAAAGTTCAACATATTTTTACACGGATGGTCTGTTCTCGTATGTCACATGATATGCAAGAAAAGCCCATTCCTGATTATAGTGAGCGCTTGAATCTTTTTGGTTTAAAATCATTGAAACGCAGAAGGATCATTGCAGACTTAGTTTTTTGTTTTGCGATTCTTCGGCGAGAGATTGACCTTCCTGCCAGCAACTTTTGGATTTTTAGACCTGCTAGTTGCAGAGTGGGGGGTTTCAATCTTGACTACCCCAAATTGAGAAAATGCCGCTATTCTGGGCTTTTCAATTTTATATTCTATCGCTGTGCTCGCTGGTTTAGACGACTGCCTGCTAAATTGTTTTCGGCTAAAAGTAGTTGGGCTTTCAAAAAAGTTTTAAAGAAGTCAGAAATCCTAAAGTCTGTTGAGAGTGATTCGTACTTATGTTGACTTTCTTGTGTTTATCTGATTCAGGTAGAAACCACTTTCCTGTTCGGACGACGAGATCTTCATCTTATGGGTTTTTCTTTTGCTTTTCCCTGTTGTGTTCGTTTTTGTTTTGTTTTTTTTCAGGTATGCTTGTCGAGTGCTCTTTGTCGCGTATGTTATGCGGGATTAATTATGGCTTACGCTTTACGTTCTTTTCTCCGTCTGTGCTTCAAACGGGGTTCTCAATCCAACTATGTGCCATCAATTTTTCTGTCGGGCTATTCTACTGTATACCAGGGCATTCGCCAGATAACTTCTACTTTCTCTTCTTCTTCTTCGCTATGCTTGTGTCTCCTACTAACTCCAATTTCTATCACGTAGCTCAAGCGCAGTCTACTTTTTTGACCTTGTATTTGTGCGGGTGTAGCTTGCTGATGTGGAAGCTTGCCAATGTCAACATTGGCATTTTTTTTTCTTCGGAGTCTGGGACCCTCCCCGGCAAACTGTGTTGGGCGGGGCTTGCCAGTATACCCGCCAGCCGAACTTCCGGTTTGCTTTTATGAATCATTAAGATCGTTCCTTGCTGGCAAACGAGGGGGCATGGGTTCTTCTCCTCTGAGTCTCACGTGTTAGGTTTTTATCAAACCTTATTTCTGCTAGCTTATCCCGACACAATCTTTCTATAGAAGATGATTAGACTGACTTGGGGCGACGTGATGTTATGTTTGTTCGAGTTGTGCTTTACTAACCTTCTTTTTTATGCAACGCCTAGAGCGTATTAAATGAATGAATGAATGAATGAATGAATGAATGAAATGTTCGAAACTCATGCTTCGCAACTGCTCGACAAATTGTTGGGTGTTAGACAAATGTGCTGATACTTTGGCTAATAGTTGGCTTACGATCTTATTAAGAAACCACGAAATTCGATCAGTGGGAGCGCCTATGCAGCTTATTATCGGACGGATCTCGTATGAGTCGGGTGACAAAGACTGGAACTTATTGTCTGCTACTTTATGCGTCTTGATCAGGTGGTAAAAAAACGGGCAGTTCGGTATTATTATTATTATTATTATTATTATTATTATTATTATTATTATTATTATTATTATTATTATTTATTATTATTATTATTATTATTATTATTATTATTATTATTATTATTATTATTATTATTATTATTATTATTATTATTATTATTATTATTATTATTATTATTATTATTATTATTATTATTATTATTATTATTATTATTATTATTATTATTATTATTATTATTATTATTATTATTATTATTATTATTATTATTATTATTATTATTATTATTATTATTATTAATATTATTATTATTATTGTTGTGTCCTCCACGTCGGACACGTCGACTCTTTGTCCTGAGGCAGGCACAGAGGAAAACGAATAAATTTATTGAGGAATAATAGAGAAACAGAAAAATATGAGAGGCGAATAAGTGAACGAATTAACTGACAATGGCTAACAGCGAGCGCCTTTTGTAGCGCTCATTTCCCGCGCATTGAGGTCGCAGGCGCCTCAGCGAGGGCAGATCATACGAGAAAATAACTGATCAGACACTAACACAACACCTCCCCCAGTAGGGTAGTTACAACAAAACTAGCCTACGAGAAAAACATGAACTACAAATACGAAAAGCTAAGAAATCGATTACACATAGATATCACTATCATTTAGACAACTACAAATCTAATGAAACAAACATACGATAACATTCTATGGACTAGGTTGGAACCGTTGTACCGGTCTTCTCGTTCTGCTCGATCTCCGAAGCGTTGGCTGTGGCGTGGAGGGCTCGTGACTTGATGGCGACGTCGATGTCGTTGAATCCACGGGTATTGACACATCGCTCGCGATCGCTTGCTCAGAACTCCCTTCAGCAGCATTGCCATCCCTCGATAGTGTGTCGTCTTCTGTCAGAACATCCAACAGTATCTTCAAGGCTTCGGACTGTTGTTTGAGTTGCTGTTGGACTGCAAGCTGTTCGCTGTCGCTTCGGTGACGTAGTTGATTTGCGTGCTTCTTGCAGATTTCATCTCCAACCATTACTTCATAGTTGACGCGTCCAATACGTCTCATCACTGTTCCTTTCATCCAATGGAAGTGGGGTGGCTTCCACTGCTTGGCATATACCAGGTCACCAACTTCGAAATCTTTTCGAACGACTCCATGCTTCTGGTCAAACTGGTCCTTCATGCGCTCTCGTCTTCTTCGTACGAGTGGGTCTTCTGCATCTTCTGTCATCGGTAATAGCAGACTTAATTTTGTGCGCAAGTTTCTGCCGAGAAACAATTCTGCTGGCGTCATGTCGTTCAAGTTCGTGTTTGGTGTTGTCCTGTACGCTTGTAACACCACATTCAGAGTCTCTTCTGTTGGCCTCTCCTCCCCCTCTAGTTTCTTGATTCCGCGTTTCAGCGTATCAACGAAACGCTCTGCCTGTCCATTCGATTGAGGGTGGTACGGAGCAGTCCTTATATGCGTGATTCCACCTTCGTCACACATCCTCTGGAATAAATCCGATGTGAACTGGGTACCATTGTCGCTCACTATTGTTTGCGGTAATCCATACCTTGCAAACAAGTTCTTCAGAGCCTTCACCGTCTTCGCAGCCAAGATATTGCTCATCTCGATCATTTCAGGCCATTTGCTGTAGGCATCTACCACGACCAAGTAGAAGACTCCTTGCATGGGTCCAGCGAAGTCGATGTGTATCCTCTGCCACACTCGAGTCGCGGATGGCCATGCTTCTAATGGTACTTTCGTCGGATTCTTGGCCAATTCCTGACATTTCGTACACCTTCGTACCAAATCTTCGCAATCCTTGTCTATATTCGGCCAGTAGACGTAACTTCGAGCTAATTTCTTCATCCTTACAATCCCTGGATGACCACTATGCAGTTCCTTCAAAACGTTTCTTCGAAGATCCTTGGGTATCACAACCCTTTCGGCTGACATCAGACATTGCTCCACGATTGACAATGTCCCTCTTCGATTTCGAAAATGTGCCAATTCTCCATTCGTATCTGGCCACTGCCCTTTCTTCACGTAGGTCATCACTCTTTGTAGCACCGGGTCCTTCTTCGTGTAGGATTGCACATCTGATACCGTCACTGGCAATTTCCTTATGCAGTTCTTCAACATGAAGTTCACGTCGTTCTCAACGGCAGCTATCACGACGTCTTCTTCGTTATTCTGACTCTTCACCATCAACCGTGACAAGCCATCTGCTTGTCCAAACTTCGTAGTCTTGACATATTCTATGTCAAAATCATATCCAAGCAGGATTGTAGCCCATCTCATGAGTCGATTAGCGGAGTAGACTGGAACTCCTTTCTTGTCACCGAAGATGGCTAGCAAAGGTTGATGGTCCGTCAACAATAGAAACTTTCGTCCGAATATGTACTTGTGGAATTTCTTGACAGCAAAGACAATTCCCAATGCTTCCTTTTCGATCTGCGAATAGTTCTTCTCTGCTTTCGTGAGAGATCTCGATGCATGTGCGATTGGCTTTTCGGATCCATCGGCATACTTATGCGATATCACACAACCGATACCATAGTCACTAGCGTCCGCTGCCACGACTATCTTCTGCCTTGGATCATAGTGAGCAAGGTTTAGCTCACTCGACAAAGTCTTCTTGAGCTTTTCGAACGCTTCTTGATGTGTTCGTGTCCATTCCCACTTCGCATCTTTCTTGAGCATCGCGTCCAATGGCCCACGAAGATCCTTTATCTTCGGCATGAACGCCGCATAGTACGTTATCATGCCAAGAAAAGCCCTTAGTTGACTAACACTTTTCGGCTCTTCCATCTTCTTGATCGCTTCGATCTTCTCTAGATTCGGCCTTCGTCCATTTCGATTTACTATGAAGCCAAGATATTGTATTTCTGGCTTGCCAAAAGAACACTTCTCTAAGCGAATCCTGAATCCATAATCGGCTATCCTTGCAAAAACAGCTAGCAGATTTTCCATGTGTTCTTCTTCGGTTCGTCCACACACCAGTATATCGTCCAGGTAGGTTGCTACCCCTCGCAATCCGCTCACCATCTTGTTCATGATCTGCTGGAAGATCCCTGGTGCTGTCTTTATCCCAAAAGGCAGTCTATTGTACTGGTACAATCCTTTATGCGTATTTATCACTACCAGTTTCTTCGCTTCTTCTGACAACTCGATTTGCAGATAGGCGTCCGACAGATCTAACTGCGAAAACACCGTGCCTCCATTGAGGGATGCGAATATATCCTCCGGCAATGGCAATTGGTAATCATACGACTCCAGCGCTTTGTTGAGTCCAGTCGAGAAGTCAGCACACACTCTCAATTTTCCATTTGCTTTCCTAACACATACGATGGGAGCTGCCCATTCGCTATGTGTCACCGGACTTATAACCTTCAGGTCCAATAGCCTGTCAAGCTCCTTTTCGACGGCTTCGAGTGCGGAATGGGGGACAGGTCTACTAGCCTTGAAAACAGGACTAACGCTTTCGTCAACTTTCAAGTGTGCCTTTTCCTTCGTGCATAATCCCAAACCTTCTTTGCAGACTTCCGGGTAAGCTTCTTTCAGCTTCTGAGCGATAGCATCGTGTTGTCCCAACTTCACTTCAGCAGCCATCCTGCTCAAGTGGTACGACATTTCTTCGTTTTTCTGGATCCATTCCAGTCCTAGCAATGAGTTGTGGGGCGTCACATATGCGTAGCCTTCGCTCCTAGAACCTTTGATCTCGTAGTCGCACCATAGCTTTCCATGAACCTTCATGTAGCCTCCACTGGCATTCTTGACGACCACGTTCGTGTTCTCTAGCCGAGGAGCGCCCATGCTTCTCCAGATTGATTCGTTCAACAATGTGATGTCCGATCCAGTATCTAACAGGAAGCTGACTGGATAACTATTCACTTTTGCTTCGATATACATGCGTGTCGAGTTGACATCCACCACCGCATTTGCAATCTTCGCTACGCTGTGCACATGACGTTTTGGTTTCGTCCAACTTCTGTTCCTACTAATGTCGCTGCTTCTGTGGATTCTTCGTTCTTGCTGAACAAGTTCTTTTCTCTTCGCCACCTGTTCGCAATACTTCTCCTTGTGACCTGTAGCCTTGCACTTCTTGCAAAACCATAGCTTCGCTTTGCATTCCCTAGCAAAGTGAGCTTTACCACAGTTCCAGCATTCCAGCTTCGTGGGTTCTTCCTTGCGCGTTGCTTCGACTATTTTTGTGCATCCAGCTATAGTCTCGCTATCTTTCTTGAGGCTCAGAAAATTTTCGCATTCCAAGTGCAATTCCTGCAGCGAAAGCTTTCGTCCAGCCTTGTATTCCCTATCCAGAACGGCAATGAGTCGCTGTCTGATTTCGGCTTCTTTCTGGCTCTTCAAGCCAAATATCCACAGCAGGCACTTGATTCCATCGCTGTCCAGCTCATGGATCTTCGCCTTTTCGCACAATTCGTTCACTCGGCCGGTGTACATGAGGTAATCTTCGGCGTCGTTCTTCTGCAGCTCTAAACACTGTTACCGCATTGTAAATTCGGAGATCTTCACGTCGAATAGTTGCTTTAATGTTCCGACGGTTTCTTCGAACTTAATTGCAGTCACCTCTTTCGGCAGGACATGCCTCTGATATTTTTCGAAACATTCCTTGTCGAGCTTCTCGCAGAGAAGCCTCACCCTGGTACTCTCTGGCAGCTGCTTCGCATCTTCGACGAAGACTTCCTTGTAGCGAGCGTACCACTTACTGAAGCATTCGTCCGCTTCTGGGTCGAAGTAGAATTTTTCGATCCGGTTGCTCAGCGCGGACATCATGTTCGGAACTTCCGACGACGTACTGGGCTGTCCAGTACCTGCGATGTGCTTCAGAAACGTCTCCATCATTTCTTGCCTTTCTTCTCTCATCAATTCCCTGAGGCTCTTCTGGTCTTCTCTGATCAGTTCCTTGAACATGATCACCAAGTCTTCTGTGCCTAATTTCGCCATTTGTGACCACTCCAGCTTTCGAGATTTCGTTTCCCTGCAGCTTCTTCGGCGTGGTTCCTGGCGTGCTTCGTTACGGCTACTTCTTCGCTAGTAGCCGCTGCCTCCTGATCGCCACTGTTGTGTCCTCCACGTCGGACACGTCGACTCTTTGTCCTGAGGCAGGCACAGAGGAAAACGAATAAATTTATTAGAGGAATAATAGAGAAACAGAAAAATATGAGAGACGAATAAGTGAACGAATTAACTGACAATGGCTAACAGCGAGCGCCTTTTATAGCGCTCATTTCCCGCGCATTAAGGTCGCAGGCGCCTCAGCGAGGGCAGATCATACGAGAAAATAACTGATCAGACACTAACACAACAATTATTATTATTATTATTATTATTATTATTATTATTATTATTATTATTATTATTATTATTATTATTATTATTATTATTAATTATTATTATTCTTATTATTCAAAACTGCAATCCCTTTCAGGCCTCCGAAGACGACGATACTTGTCGAAACGTTAGGCAATAAAGGTCTACCATAAAAACCTCTTTGGCACAAAATCAAAATCACAAAGTCAACTGAATGCCGAGGTTCAAAGAAGAGAGCACATGGTAGCTGCCTTTAAATATATGTTTACTATCTGCCAAACGACTATCTGGAAGGTGTTATGAGCATTCAAATATGAGAATTTTATCGAGTTTGACGGGTATGATTCCTTCAAACGCAGCCTGATGGCGGGAATTTACGGTGGCTATTTTCAATTTAGTTACAGGGAGAAGCACATATTAGAAGAACCTGAACAGGTGTCTCTGAAACGTATTTCGGCGACATGCGCCATAGAACACTTGGAAAATCGCATATTTAAACGCTCATAACTAGTTCCATACACTCGCCTGGCAGATAATAACCATATTTTTGTGGTTAGTGTTTCAAGGCGATTCCGATGATATATAGCACGGTGGGTATGGCTGGGTTAAGTTCCGACCATTTCCTGTTTAGCCGTGGCTTAGAATTACGCCCATAAAGAACTTCTACAACTGTCATTCACGCACTTTGTAGCAGTTCGCATGTAAGATGAGGAACGTGACAAGATGCTTGAATGCTAGACGCTAGTTTCGCGATTCGCAGTTCTATCGACCAATATCTCAAACGCTTACTAGAGAAGGAAGTGTGCCGTGAAATGCCACAGTATAAATTCTCAGTGTCAGGCGACATTCCGTTCGCGGAAAGGATCGACTATGGATAAAAGCGACTGCAGCCGCAGAACGAGTGGTGGAACCAGCAAGCAAAAGCGAACGTCTGTGTAATCAGTAGTCAGTCTGTATAATCAGTAACATGATCGGTAGTGATCATGCATTTCTGTCACTTACACTTGTTGCTTGTGTTCATCACTCAATATTCGTTACTTACTTGTATGTAGGATATGAATTTCATACTATCCTGTCTCACTGTTGAGCATGCTCTTACATTTGTTGTTTGAAAGTTATGACACGTCAAAACCCAATGAGGTAACAACAATAAATGTGTGACGTTCATGTAAATTCAACTCATGGTCGTGTAAAGCTATTTTATAAACGTAGGTGCAGGAATTATGTTTGTTTCTTGAGCCGTCTCAGTGTAGATACAATGGAAGCTAAGTATCCTAATATAATAACGCGCTAAGGCCGTCTGTTTTTTTGTGTGTGTGTCTGTGTGAAAATCTGTCTGCGATCATAGAGGAAGCTGCAACTAAGCTATCGGGCTGCAATTTTGCATAACATACCGTGCCAGCGTGTAGGCCCACCGTGCACAAGGACGAGCCGGTTCGATAAGCGGGTCCTTCAAAATTTGCGCGTAAAACGGGTCCACGCGCCTTTTGGCACACAAAACTGGGTCGCTGATTCGACTTTTTGCAAAGTTATGATTTGCCTGACGAGTAACTCTACGCGCCATGAATTCTAGCCCAAAAAGTGCTCAAAAAGTTTGCTTTTTTGCGAAAACAGCGCCAAAAAGCGATGAACGCGTAGATTGTCGATTTGGCAAGGTTTTATTTGAAAAAACTGAAAAGATTTTTGCACAGAAATGTAACCCAAGGTGACTATTCTCCTTATGACGATTATCAAACCAAAATAAATTCAGTAATCCGTTCAAATTCGCATTTATTTCCTTGCAACAAAATTTATTTTCTCAAAATTACCGATTTTACTAGGCTGTTGCATAAGTTCTGTCCGATTTGAATTTTTGAGTTTAAAATGTCATAACTTCTTTCAGAGTCAACTTTTTTCCAAGGTCTTAGTTTCTATGTGTTGAGCAGTCCCTTGGCTAAAAAATGCATATTGAGATCTGCGCAAATCTTTGTTAAGGAAGAACCAAGAATGCAAAAACTTCGCAGCGTTTTTCTTCGAATCTGTCTTTTTTGACATGGTAACGCTCCCTTATGAAAATTGATAGGCATCTTTTCTAATAATGGATGGATAGAGAAATTTTCGTAGATTATCATGCAACATAAAAGAGCCCATAGGGTTTGCGCTGCCGAGAGATTTTTTTGACCGAACAAAAAATTAGCCACTTTTTGACCTCGCTTCAGCACATGTGTGCATGCCTATTTATGAACTACGAACGTTTTACAACTGACGTGAGCGCCGAAAAGGAATTGGTGGATGGGCCCTGTTAGCTCTTGCTTTGCCCTAGCACCTCCAACTTTGAGCTTGTCGATTACTTCTATTCGCAGAAAGTTATTGCTTGTAAAACATCTATACCAAAGATTTATGTTCGAGGATAAATTTCACTAGCAAGACGTATTCTTCATGGGACCGAACTTCTGCATATACTAGCATTCCATACCCTTATTCCGAAGCCAATGAAAGAACCTGACTTGAAGGGCGCATTGTGGAGATATCCTCGCAAGGACATATTTCTAGGGATAGAACGTACCTCGGCCACTTAGAGATTTTAGGCCTGTGATCTCCGTACACTAAGAATTTTATTGAATTCTGGTATGCTTTAGAAAGCGCAAGGAAAGCACTTTTCAATGATACCAACCGTATCGAATTAGAGATGAAATTCTCTTAGAACAGCTGCTTCAAACATGAGGCAAAAAAATCGGACAGAACTTATGCAACAGCCTAGTACATGAAGATGCTTCATGAATGAACAGTTGTTTACAATTCATTTGTGATGCTCAGCATCGCGTGGTGAGTTTCAAAGCCATTCTCATGCGAACATGAGAAAGGCATACGGATAGGTAGCCAGTGCGAACCTCCGCGGAGCGGAGGTGACGCACTGGTCGTTCGATAAAGCAAAGTAAGCTTACGCTCATCAACGTTCCCATAAGTCGTGGACGCGAATTTAACGCCGAAGTACAAGACTATTTTAATGCTCAAAAAATTGACCCTCAAAATCCTACGAACTTTCCCTCGATTATCATGTAGACAAATAGAGTAGCTGGCACTTGGTAGATTTTTTCCCGGGTTAAACTCGTGATTAGGGTTGGCACTATCTGGCACTTGACTCTTTCGGAAACAAAGTCTTATTCAAACCTCAAATTTTCTAAAAAGTCCTCCTTCAGTGCCTAACTCTATGGGGTCAATATGTGAAGTCGCTGAATCAAGCAAATCCAGGTGAACCCATTCTGTTAGATGTTGATAATTGTTGTGTCATTTCTTGTGACGTTAATATCTGCTTCGGTATCACATCTCACCAATCCTCTTGATAAGCACTGGTGCTACTTGAAGCTGATTTGCGCTGTTATTGTTAATTACTTAACAAAACTATTTACTTACTCAGCGCTTCTGAAACTTCTACTAGCTATGCCCATATCGTACCTTCAAATGGTGGATAGTTAAGATACAGCAAGATAAGATACATACAGGGTGTCCCAAAAAATGTATCGAACGTTTGATCGTTAGTATCTCTCTTTTAAAGAAGTAGTCTTTTCTCTTGCTTTAGGTACCAATCTGTAGAGCTGGTTTCAACTTAGATTTGCATTATAGAACGAATCACTCATTCCTCTTCATTACTGTAGGATTGTAGGGTAGAAATTTCAAAGAGGGTTTTAAGCAATAAAAGGCCATATTTTGCCTCAGATAGGGAACAAAACAGCCTGAAAGCTTCTACACTAGGCTAATTAGAGTTGCTGATTATAACTGTGAAGTTCCCAACTTATTATGATGCTTCATTGAAGAGTTATGCCAGAAAAAGAGGTAGCGGTCATTTTTTCAATGTTTCTAAAAAGTGCGGTCACAGAAAGAAAGAAAGCATGGTAATCTTGTGAATAGTTGAGTATTGAACTCGGCGTCCATAAAAACCCTATTACACAATTTTTCACAGTTTTTTGAAAAATTTTGAAACGGCAGCTTTTTCCACATTGACACACAGTAATGAAGAGAGTAAGTGATTCGTTCTATGATGCAAATCTAAGTTGAAGCCAGCTCTACAAAACGGTACCTGAAGCAAGGAAAAAGACTTCTTGGGAAGAGAGATATTAACGATCAAATGTTCGATACAATTTTCTGGGACACCCTGTATAAGATATATGTATAGTTAAGATACATTCTTCCTCGTAATTTTTCAAAAGTGCACGAAATTCTTTGCAAAATTTCAATTTTCAGGCACCCATTCTCTAGTTTTTGATTTTTTAGAGTATCTTATTAGGTGGTTGCTGAGTGTCTTTGAAGGGTGTCATTGAAACGTTTTAAAAATACTTATTAAAATACTGGGAAACACAAAAACGTCTTGGATTCGTAGGTGAAAGTTGAAAGTTTAGAAGTTTGAAATCGAAGCTCTGAAAAATATTGTGCCTTTTTTGTTATTTCTGAGACCACATTTTTGCAGCCGAATGTTTGCTTGATAGTCACAAAAAATTTTATGATCCCCGATCTGCTTTGTCAAGTTTATAGAGAAATGGTCGTCACAAGTCGAGTAATCAGAAGTGAAAGAAGTTGAGAAGCCTCAGAAGTGCAAGGAAGTTGAGATTCCTGAAGCACTAACTTCAAAGAACTTCAACAGCAGCCTTTGCTGCCTTTCATCTTCCATTACAGATATTTTTCTGTCATTTGAAGCTGAAAATACTGCAGTACTTGTTCTAGGACAACAGTCATATTGGCTAATTAAACTAAGCTGGCTTCGTAAAAGTATTAAAAGTAGTGAGAACTGAAGATGAAGTTGTATAGACTATGGCAGACGCTACTCCTCAGTTAGTGTAGCAACTGCTTATGACTGACTGCTTATGACTTATAAATGCAAAAGCACAGCAACAATGTGCGGTGAATCCAATTGTTTTTGGGGATGAATGGGTACCTTCTCCAGGTAACGTTTCTTTTAAAAAGCTTGTCATTTGCCAAGACCTAAAATATCATCACCATTACTTCCACACTTTTCAAACGCTTCGCTTCGTACCACCTTTTAAAAAGCGCAGATAATGAGAACAGTCTTTGAATTAGAGCTTAGCGCTGGTAGCAAGGTTGCTTGTAAGTAGAAGTCTCCACATATGAAGCAATCAGTACGTGAGCAAACCATACAAGGCATTAAACCATCCATCACTTTTGTTTTTTGTACATATACACCATCTTCGCATATCTTATATATAAAGCTGAATGTCTGTTTGTATGTCTGTCTGTATGTCTGTCTGTATGTATGTATGTATGTATGTATGTACGTATGTTCCGAATAGAAAATTCCATTTCTGAACCGATCCGGACCAAACTTGGCACACATACACTACGGGCCCCGGCGGGTGTCATAGGCTACTTTTCGTCATCGATCGATATCGATTTTATCGATTTTTATCGATTTTTTTGCTGAGTTCACCTACGGGGCTGGGAGTTGGCACAGGGGGGTAATCGAGCATGGGGATTCCGAATACAATATTGGTTTTCAGGATTATCGATTACTTTTATCGATTTTATCGATTTTTTGCAAAGTTTGAGCTACGGGGCTGGGAGTTCGCACAGGGGGGTAATCGAGCATGCTGATCATCCCCAAGGGGGTGATCAGCATGCTCGATTACACCCCTGTGCCAAATTCCAGCCCCCTAGCTCAAATTTTCAAGAAATCGATAAAATCGATAAAAGTAATGGACGATCTTGAAAACTAATATTGTATTCGTAATCTGCATGCATGATTACCCCCTGTGCAAACTCCCAGCCCCGCAGGTCAAACTTTACAAAAAAATCGATAAGATCGATAAAAGTAATGGACGATCCTGAAAACTAATATTGTGTTCGTAATCAGCATGCTCGATTACTCCCCTGTGCAAAATCCCAGCCTCGCATGTCAAAATTTACAAAAAATCGATAAAATCAATAAAAGTAATCGATAATTCTGAAAACTAATATTGTATTCGGAATCCCCATGCTCGATTACCTCCCTGTGCAAACTCCTAGCCCCGTAGGTGAACTCTGCAAAAAAATCGTTAAAAATCGGTAAAATCGACATCGATCGATAACGAAAAGTGGACTGTGACACCCGCCGGGGCCCGAAGTGTATGTGTGCCAAGTTTGGTCCGGATACGGCGGAGCCGGGTAAGCCAGCTAGTACATTCATAAGGAGGGCCATGTTTCATACCTCTCCTGGGGCTGCATGTCAGGACGTACGCTGCGCGGGGTGGCGGCTTTGCCGTGTACGCTGCGGTCAAAACATGGGACCAGCAAAACTCCCGCTGTTGTGGGTTCCTGGCGCAAAAGCAAGGCGTTGGGGTGGAAGAAGCACATGAGTCAATCCCATAAGTAACCAGGAGCTGCAATAGGAGTGCCGCCCTATGTCGATTGAAGTATGTTGCCGGCGCCGCATCGCAGCGAAAAATCCGCGCCGACTGTACCTCCCGACCGCCCTCCCCCCTCCTCGCCGCACTGCCAAAACATATACAGGGTTTCCAAAAAGATATATCAAGTGTTTGATCCTTTGTGTCGTGAAGATTTGGAGAAGCTTTAGGTTCTTGTAGAGCTGGTTTCACCGTATAAAAGGAATCACTAGTCGCTCTTCATTCCTGTAGGATTATGGAAGGAACTTCTGGCGTTTTATATTAGTACCTGTGTAATGGCTTTACATGGATGCTAACAATAAGTAACATACCCAACTTTGCACAAGATATGAAGCTTTCTTAAAGTCACATTTTTACAAGCATTGAAAAAATACTATTGCTTACGCATGGCTTTTAAACAAAGCACTATGATAAGATGCTAGCTTTATAATTAGAATGAGCATCAAGCAATTAGCCTACTGTGAGAATTTTCCTGTCGTTTTGTTTCCTTTCTGAGGCAGAATATGGCCTTCCATAGCTTAGGAACCCTCTTGAGTTTCTTCCTACAATAATGAAGAGCAGTCGGTGACTCGTTTTATACTGTAAATCTAAGTCGAAGCCAACTTTACAGAACGGTACTTGAAGCTTTTCAAGGCATGAGAAGAGAGATGCTAACGATCAAACGTTCGATACAACTGTTTGGGACACCATGTATGTGTGCTTTATTATGGTAGATAGAGAGGGGGGGAGCTTTGGGTTTCCAAAAAAACAGCGGAGGGAAATACGCTGGGATTTCGTCATTTCAATAGGCATTCAATACCTTGAACTAAATTCGACTTCGCAGAATGTCCCAGATCCCAGAAGATGATGTCAGATGTCAAGGTTAGTTCGAACGACTTAGAATTGAACTGCACTGTCGTAGATATGTCTCATACTGAACACGTCAAGTTCTAAATAAAAAGGAGAGAATTATTATATATCTAAAAACCAGCGTACGTTTGATTATAAAAATCATTTATAATAAACTTGCAAATTCGTCTTTCAGCTAGAATTGGTGCATCTTCGCTTAACTGCAGTGGATTTAAACTTTTTAAGCTACTACCTATCATCGCAGGCTGTTCATGTTTGTAATTAGAGATGAATACCCTGATTTCAAAACTGATACGTGCAAAAAAAAAACTGCGGTTCTTCTCCAATGTTAGATAGGTCTGAGAAGCTGAATGTTTGACGAAACATTAACCCTATCTAACACTGGAGAAGAACCGCGGCTTCGATGTTGGTCTCATGCAGCGGAACAATAGATTTCATCCAATGTTCACCTGTTGCAACCGTGTGGGAATAAATCGAGAATAGATCAGGTGAGCTGAGTTGATCATTGTTGACCCTTGCTACTTCAAAAGATTTTTCATGCTTAATGTCTGGTCATATGAGAAGTGGAAACACCAAATGAATGTGCGGTGGGTACAAACAGCAATTTTCGAATTTTCTTACTTTGGAAAATTGGGCACAACTAGTGGTCCAGTTCATTTCTGATATTAACACCATTAATCAGTTCTCAATTCAAAATAAACCCGTGAAACTTAAATTTTTCAGTGTACAAATCTAGAGCCTGCATCACGTTACGGTTGTGATCCCAATAACCAATACAAAAGTACTTGGAGAAGACAAAAAACCGATTTGAAACTTGCCTTTTGAGTTGGGACAACAACTTTAAGTCTTCCAAGCACTCTCAAACTTGGTTGAATAATTTTCAACTTCAAAAAATTGCTTACAAAACATTAGAAATGCTTCCATGACACCATGTCTTGGCTTAATGGTAGATCTGTTCCTTTTCAACAGCATGTTGCACACATGCCTTCCACAATCAAAAACGTTTTGAAAGACGTGCTTGAATTTTTGGCATTGCAATGCCTTCTAATCGTTTTGAGGGCCTGTTTCAATATCTAAGCAAGAAAATGACACTTGATCAGTTCTAATCTGCACCATTGTACAATCAAAGTATCTTCTTGTGCTAAAGGGTGCTTTTTTGTTTAATTCATCAGCTACTGAGGATCATCCGTTAAGAGGCAGTTTCTTCCTGAAGAAATTCTCGCTGGACAAACTTTGAGGTTGGACCCGATTTTTTTGATCTTGCACAGGGAGATAACAAGGTCAGCGAGACTTGAATGGATGATAAGAAAGTCGCAAACACGAAATTAGACGCAGACAGTCAATCGGTCACGAATAGTGCTCGCTTCCCCTATCATCGTCATCAACAGCGCAACACATACATGATAAGACGCTAAGAAGCGTTCGTTCTCAATCAGTCAACTAATCTGTTCTCAGAAATGACCACTATCAATAACAACATTGCCACTGATCCGGCGCAAGAAACTATCGAGTGAGTGCTTTTTGCTTCAAATTTACACAAATTTCGCACTTTCTCAAAAAACTTCGTTCTTCAGCCCGCGCTCCTATGATGATCTCCTGGCAGTATCGAGTTTCATTAGATCCCAGCTAGGTGATAGGGCACATGCTGAAGTTGGCATCATTTATGGATCCGGACTGGGGCCAATTGCTGAGCTCATTGAGAGCCCCAGCGTTCTACCCTACGAGAAAATTCCTGGATTTCATGCAGCCCAAGGTGAGTGTTGCTAAGTTTTCACTGTTTAATTCAATGCTAACTTTGAATGAGCGGAATTTTCGAATTTTTCAGCTCAGAAATGATTTTCTAAAGCATGAATGGGATTTAAAAACTTATAAATGTTAGAAGAGTGAACAAAGTGAGAATGTCGATTATATCCATCGTATACAGAGTCAAATAGTCTCTATGCGGGTTCTCGTAACTGACTCTTCGCTCGACTCTTTACCATGTGTAGAGCTAAGAAAAAGATACGGTCATGACAGTTCATGATGAAGAATGGTGAAATAGAACTTGGAATGTACATGCTGATGCCTGGATAGATTCAAGGTTTTGAGATGCTGTCATTGCATTATAACTTTTTTGAGGAAATCGGCGTCTTGGAAACTTCATGTTGAAAAATGAAATTTAATGAGTATCCTGAACGATTTCAATTTTCTCGTTTGATACCAAACTGGCATTTGATTAATTGGGAACACTTGAGGTTGGTATCAAAGATATACTTATCACTACCATTATTCAAATTAGAATATGTAACGCAGTGTTTATTAGCAAATAGCTTTTGAAAAAAGAGTAATTCATAGTTTCCGACGCTACTTTCCATCGTCACTACAGTGGTATTACGTGAGACAAAGCAATGAAAGCAAAAAAAGCAATGAATACTTGTGAAAGCGGAAAACTACTACTATTTGACACCACTGGGAATCAAAAACTGACTACATAACCTAACGCAAATCTTTTCCAACACTTAGGTGACATTGTCGCAAATTAGTAAGAAGGTTGAAATACACTGCAAAAACTTGGAATTGTCCTAGATCCGAGGCATGGCCGATACGGAAAGTCATAAAAGTCCTTACTCGGAGACTTCGCAAATTGGAATTGAAATTGCCGAAATTATGAAAATCTTTCCTTTCTTCCACATTTCAAAGAGTATATCTGGGAAAACGCCTAAGAGGTTCATTCGCTACAAAAAATCAATCGAAAGAAAAGATTTTTTTACAGTCATTGGTCACAAAGGCAACCTGCTTTTTGGAAAGATGAATGGAAAGGACGTAGTGTGCATGCAAGGACGATTTCATCCATTTGAGCATCATATGGACCTCGCTTTGGTGAATTTTGCTTTGCAAAACGTCTGCCCAATTGATGATAGCTCATTTGCATCCTGAATAAGAATTTGAAAGGAAAATGAAAGTTTTTCAGTGCTCATTTCCTGTGAGAGTCATGCAGCAGTTAGGTGTAAAAATTTTACTTGTGACGAATGCTGCTGGTGGTATCAATCCAAATTTCAAACATGGAGATCTCATGCTCATCAAGGTCCAAAGGTTCTATATCTGAAGGCCATCTGATATTGTTCTTTCTAGGATCATATCTTTATGCCTGCACTTTGCGGATTCTCTCCTATGGTTGCACTGAATGATCCTCGTTTCGGGGCAAGATTCGTGTCAATGCATGATGCTTACGACAAGTCTCTAAGGTAGTCTCCAAACTTATTCTAACTCTACCCGTTTCATCAAGAATTTAGGAACTTAGCCAAACAAATCGCTGAGAAAAACAATATACATTTATTCGAAGGTGTCTACGTAATGACTGGCGGTCCTCTATACGAGACACCTGCAGAGGTACTGTAATTTTCAGGTGTGGGTTTGGCATTCCGGTAGAATCAAGCGAAACGGTGCGTAGTGTGACAGTTGCTTTCTAAGAAACAAATTAGTCTTTTACTTAAAAAGAAAATTGAGGTGTAGGTCATCAAAAATTTGTTAGCGTCAACTACTTGTCTATAATATTAGGTAGTAACATAAGTCTTGCTGCACTTTAATTCTTACAGCGATAAGTCATGCACTCCATATTCTTAACAGGGCTCCAGGGTGACATTCGATAGAGCAAAGCAAGCTCTATAAAATGGTGTGCAAAAGTTCGTATCAACTTCGACTCACCGTACTGAATACAGAATCTGAGTCGTACTAAAGGAAAAATTGGAAGAAAATCATATCTTCTTTCAAAAAAATCTCCAACTTGCTTACATAAATTGCACACCACATCAGACATTCTATGTATTTCTTATCTAGAGAACGAAAAAATTTCCATGCTTATACAAAAACGAAGCTACGCTGTTCGCATTCATGTAATTGTGTAGTACAAGCTCTCTTAGAAGAACCGTGAATTCACAGCCACAGGCCCTAGTTTTAGAAAATTACCGAGTTTTAGCTCTCCTCACTCGGGTATTTCGCGGTAAAATCATTACTTCTAGAAAATTATAGCCTGTGGAAAGCTGAAAGTTAACGACTACTTGTGAGGGTTTGTACTATACAATTACAAAACAGGAAAAAGCACAGCTTCGTTGTTTACAAAGGCATGAAAATTTTCGTTTTCTCAATTTCTAGATTGGGAAGTCGGTGTTGCTGTCGAAGTTGGTCGAACTTTTGCACACCTTCTTGTAGAGCTTGCCTTGGTCTTTCGAATGGCACACTCTCAAACAAATCACCGGAACTTCCTCGGGACAAAAAATTTGCAGGAGTTCCGCAGGATTTCATACACTATTGCAAAAATCAACGCTGAAAATCGGAAATTCCGCGGGATTTTCATGCCAAAGTGGTTGAAAACCGGAACTTCCGCAGAACCTTCTTCAAAATCCTGCGGAAGTCCCGAAAAATGCCAGAGGTTCCGCAGCACTTTGGCCTGCCAGAATTTCCGCAGGACTTTGAATGCGTTGTTTCGTGATGTTGCCTTGCCAACAACTAGAGTGCGTAGAGGATAGTAGGTGGGTCTTACAGTCAATAGAGAGGTTCAAATCTCGCTTCGGTGTTCTTTTTTGCTGTTGTGGTTGGCACTCTTCGAAACTTCCGCAGGACCTCATTTCGAAACTTCCGCAGCACGTTTACGGAACTTCCGCAGGTGACCCGGCGGAACATCGGCAAGCGCTCTGCGGAAGTTCCGGTCATTCGTCTGACTCTTGTCCTTTCGGAAGAAGCACTAAACAGTGATTGTCAAAAGAAACGTTGCCAACGCTTAATCTGTCAACAAGAACAGTAGCGTCTCACACAAGCAGCATAACTGCTATTTCTACAAATTGCAATGTTTCAAATGGTAATCCCCATTGTGAACTCTATTAGAAAGTCCTTCCATAATCCTTTCGATAAAATCGTTAGAAGGGAGCTCCTTGAAAATAGTCGGTTGTTTTGACTTATGGATCCGAAAATTACAATTTCGAGTCAGTCACTTGCGCAGTTTATAATCCATGTACAGGTTGTGCCAAAATTACCAGTGCCAATTTTGCAACAGTGCCACAGTTATGCCCACTTTTTGCTTTAACAAGTCTTAGCTCCCTAGCTTCAAAAACAATTTATCGATATGTTGGTGACCTGTAGTAGCTTACGACACTGCCCTGTCCGGAAGCATTCGTGTACACAGTTTGATCTGGATCGGTACAAAAGTTTCTAACATACAACGTATAAGCATGCAATTACACAAGACATTATGCTCTGTTGACATAAACGGTTTCAATTTTATAAAGTCCGTTTTCAGGTGTGCATGTTCAGACATGTTGGCGGAGACGCTTTCGGCATGTCTACCTGTCATGAAGTGGCAGTCGCTCGCCAGTGCGGTATCAAAGTGATCGGATTGTCTCTGATCACGAATATGTAGGTGGACAGCTCTAAGGGGATAGCTAACTGTAGAATCACTTACTTGCAGATGTAACACCGATGCTGACACCTCCTTAGATGTAACCCATATGGAAGTCCTTCAAACTGCTGAAAAAGCCATGGATCACACTTGTAATTTCATAAAGGAACTTGTCGGGCGTTTCCCATCTCTTTAGTTCACATTACGACTTAGATTTGATATAATTTGGTAGTGCCTTCCAACTCTTGTGCTCATAATACTTTCCTTTTGCTTGATTAAAGTTCACTTGCCCTTCTATATATCATTTGGCAGTGCTGATTATAGCATACTCTGGCGCCACCGGTCCCGCTCGGACCGTATGTCTGAATTTGCCTCTTGGATGTGTGATACAGAGCGTCTTATGGCTTACCGTTCTACTCCTTCCTTCATTTTGCTCTATTTATTCCCTTACTGCATCCTCTCGTCTTTCTTCCTGCTTCTGCTCCGAGTCTGAGCAGCGCTTCTGCTGTATCCGTAGTGATATTGCCTTCCTTCTCGGCCGCCTTGCTTCGTGACACTACATTTCACCGCAAAATGTAAATGATCTTTACCGGCCCCGCCCTCTTCCATTCGAACAATGACTGATAGTTTCGTTCTACTTTGATGAAAGTAAACAAGTCAATAAAATGAAAGAAGGACCCAGTGAATCGCAGCGAAAGTAGTCTATCACCAGTGCATGGCTTATTTAGAGGGGAGAGACTTTCAGCTTCATAGGCTCACTTAGACAAATTTATATTCTGAACAAGGTTCTACACATGCTTACACATTTTGACTTATATCTGTATATGGATATAGACATTGAAGAAAGCTTGCGTACAAGTTATACAAAAAAGAATGTGGCAGTTATCTCAGTTATTCTCTGTTATATGATCACAGGGTGACACATGAGTATGTACGTCGTGGACTGCATAAGCTTATATAGATCTCTCTTGGTGCATTTTATGAATTGCAAAATAAAAGACATTTTTGTTTCAATGTTTCATTACCATCCCTTTTCTGCAATTTCATTCATTTTGCTTCGACATTGATAGAAACATGCGACAATGCACGTTTCTACCAATGTCGAAATTTCTGTCAAAAGCTGTTTCAGAATATGTGCCCCAAAAACAATGCTTGTTATTTCTTAATGAAGCACGCTGAGGATGAGGCAGGCACGAATCTGTCAGAAGTCCAAGAAGTAGAATTTAGGCAGGTTTTCAAACAATTCTCTTTGCGCCTTTATTACAGCACCTTCCTTATAGTCATCATCGCACTCCACAGGAGACTACAACAAATTTTCTGTTAACAAGAGCATTGCTGCAGATGAACATTCAACGTCACTCGATCAGCGTTTAGCTACCATTATGGCAGTTAATAAAAGTATTCTGGTATTTATGAAGTAAGATATGGTTCTGAACCTTACAAATTTTCTGTTATTCTCCTTATAACACCAAAGCGCAGAAGACGAGAAGGTTTTCCGATTTGGAAACTAAAGGATGTTGTGTCCATGTTGAATTCACAGGTATTCTGATACATTGAGACTTTCTCCTTCCACTACATTTCTCGAGTGTTTTTGGTCGTGGGGGCTTAATTTCACATATTCTAGACATGACCTGGAAAATATGAGGAGTTGATGTAAGCGCGAGGGGCACCTGTTGAGATTTTCAAAATTATACTCTAGATCAGTATTCGAAATCCTTTTGCCAGAATTCTCACAGATCAAAGAGAATCCGCTTTCCAAAGCTAATTGAAAGTTTTGTGAATGACCGATATACCAAGATCGTTTTACCAAAATGACAGTTATCGTTCGTCGAACATCCTCTACGCAATCCAACCACTTCGTTTTTATGTCCAAGATCTGCACATCATGTATTCTAGATCTGCATGCACATGCAGGTAGCATTAAGCAATCGGCAAGATTCTTGAAGACTAGTTTTAACACAAACCGATCTTTGAGAGACGATTATGGCACAAAGGTGACAGGCAGTGCAGGTTTAATACATAGGATCCCAACACTAGAGCAGATTTCTTTGTCGACATCCCTACTGACTCCTTTCCAATTGACTGCATCATCTCATCATAGTAACATATAGTAACAAGGTAATGGATTGTACAATTAATAAACGACAAAAATGGCAATCTGTCGGAGAACGAAAAGCAGCCACTGTTCACGAATTTGAGCAGAATTAAACTGCTCTAAGAGCTATGGAAGCAACAAGGATAATCATAAACCTTGCCTGAAGTGGGGCGTGGAAGCACCACGTCCAGCAAGATAATTTGTTTTGGGAAGGCCAGTTTTGGTTGCATGCTGTCCAGATGCGAACAGCATTACTCTTCACTCGTTATTTTGGTATCTTCCTATCGCAAATGCAGAGCTTGCTGAATCCCTATAGAGATGTTCCTGCGAAAGCCTTCATCAACTTTAGCCATTCGCATGGTGCCTACAATAATCTTCACAACCAGCACGACTAGAATAGTTTGAGCAGCAAAAATAGTAGCCTGATTAGATTGGGGCCGGTGCAGAAAACCGAGATAATAGGAACTAGGACGACCACGTAAGATCGAATGAGCTGGGACAGAAATGGGACGCTACACAGCTGCAGCAGGAATCAAAATATACAACCATCAGAAAGAACCGCATGAATACAAGTTTTAGCATAGGTATCTATCTGATTACCTTTATTCAGTTATCCTCACCGTATCCGTGCAGAATCCAAAAGCCGGTTTTTGTTAGCTTCACAACCATTGAATTGTCAAGGCGTTAAGCGTCAGCTCTGAAAAAACCGTATTGTTAGTCATATAAAGTGTATAAGAGCTGCCTGCTTCGGGTGCACCGGCAAGATATTGTACAGATAATAGTTAGAAACTCAAGTTCTTCCAATCTATTTTATCGTATTTTTGGTTGTAAGACTAAAAATTGGTTAAGGGCAAAGCGAAGGTGGAGATTACATAACAATCGTTTTCCTTTATCTTTAATATATAAATGTGCGTACATAAGATGAACCGGGTTAAAAGAACCAATGATGTGCTGGGACACCACGGCAGGTCTATGAACATGCGTTTTGGAGGCAGATGAGCTGTATGGTAACTGCCATTTCATTCATTTGCTTTGTAATAATTCGTATGCTGTATTTGAATATCCAAACTGGATCTGATGTTACTGTACGTACTTCCGATGACAGTGATGGCCATTTACGACGAGGCGTACGAGCAGTGTCGGCAAGCAACCTTTGGGTAGAACATCACTTTGAAACCTTATCGTTACGGAAAATCAATTAAATCGGAATTTCTCGTAGAATGTCCTACTCTAAAACATGCCTGATGGCTTGGTCTTCCTAAAAGAACGGACTAGGTTTGTCCACGTGATGGAACTACACTGACCATTTACTCCTTTGACAAAACCATACAGGTGCTTTGTGAGCGAGATCAGCGTTTCCTAAATGTGTTATATATAGAATGCTTGCGCAAATGACCTTTTCGCTGTGACTGGTTCGTAGTGCACACTAAGCAACTGAAAAGCTTGACGCAGCTCAGTGCCCACGGAGTCTACGACAATGGTGTAGGCTAGCCTGTACGACTCAACATGATTCACTATTTCCGGAACGTCTTTAAGCCTCTTTCAGTGTAGGGCCCCTATATCGCGGATCGCGATCAAGAAAAACCAGTAGACATCGCTGTAGTGCAGAAATGTGTCTATGTAGTTTCTGTTTGTTTAGGTATGCTTTATCCATTGCCCTTTTTCGGTAATGATCATTCTTTTTGTGATTTTGCCCCCGATAAAGCGGTTATCATCGCTGGTGTTTGGACATGACAGTTTGGACGGCAGAAACAGGATAACCGGCACTGAACCACCACTTTACCTGTGACGCCCCAAAATTATTCTGACTTAAAACACGTTGCCATCAATGCGACGACTTACAGGGTTTTATAGACGGTAGTTCCGACTTGTTAAATCTACTTACCGCACTTCTGAAACACAATAAGCTAAGCACGAAAAAAGCTTGCACAAACTCCAACAAGCATAACGTCAAGAAGACGGAGCGGCTGCAAAATAGTTCGATTCATAAGAAGGCCTGAAAAAGACGCTACTATCATAACTTATAATAACGGGCTAAGGGTTGTTTACGTTTTTTTGTGTGTGTGTGTGTGTCTGTCTGTCCGTTACGAAATTCGTAGGAAGAGTTCCAGCCAACCTCCTGAGCCCAGATTTTGCATAGAACATCCTAGCAGCAGGAAAGTCCACTGTGCAAAAGCACGGGCGGATTCGATAAGTGGATCCCCTGGAAAGTGCGCGCGAAACGGGTCCACTTAACTTCTGACTAGCAAAATTGGGTCCGTATATAAACTTTTTGCAAAGTCGTGGATATGTTTGACAAGCTAATGTACAAGCCGTGAACTTTGGCCCAAAAATTCAACTAAAGTTGGTTACTTTACGAAAATGGCGCCAAAAAGTATTAGTTGCGTAAATGTTCAATTTACCAAGATTTTACGTGATCATTTGAGAAGATTTTTGCACAGAGATGTAGCCCACAATGATTATTTCCGTTATGGCGACTATCAAGCCATCAGAAGTCCACAAATCTATTCAAATTTGCATTTATTCTTCTGAGAAAAGTTTCATCCACGTGAAATTACCGATCTCGCACAAAAAGCTCTAGGAATGAGTAGCTGTTTTCAAATCATTCGTGATAGCCTGCATAACGCGGTGAGTTTCACTGTCGTCATTATTCGGGAATTAATAGGGCATACAGAACGTAAGGCCAGTGCGAGCCTCTGCGAAGCAGAGGTGACGCACTGGTAAAGGATAATGGGACAACTAAGGTGCCATATTTCCACTCAAAGGGGTGCTCTCTGAAGATAGAGTCTTAAGGCATCTCTGATCAGAAAGCAGAAAAAGCCCTGCCCGTCTAGAGCAAACACCAGGTATAGGCTTGCTGGGAATTTCTGACTTACTTGACCAGCACATGGTTCAACGGTCCGTTTGAGAATATGACTTGCAAATGGGGATCACAAACATTCGTACCATAATTTTAGTGAGAAATTTCGACAAGTAGGCAACCCAAGCAAGGTTTGTCAAAGCAAAATGCCTTGCATTCCAGTAAGCCATATGAGATTCTCACAGGTGGTCATCCTAATACGCGCATGCTACTGGGAAAGCTGCGCACATTGATTCAACGGCCACATGTAATCTGCGATGGAATGAAAATGTAAGAAATAGGTATTTTTCATCCAAATGGTCAAGAGAAGTCTTTGTCGACTGTTGACAAGCTGATTCAGAAAACTGAGAAAAAAGAAGAAAACGAGGAGGTAAGTATTCGTAAACATAAATTATGCAGACACAAAACATTCAGAATGTGTTTACTGGGGGAGGCCAACGAGGACCACAAATCAAGAACTTTTGTTGATATGTCTCGTTTATTCATTGATTTTTTATATTTGACTTGTTTTCCATGCTTGTATATTGCATTCAAATCTTTTGTTCAGTATTGTCATTCCTTGCAGTGTACGCATTGTTGAATAACGACCAAACAGTGAAAAGTGAAAATGGAATGGCGAAGTTGGGACTTTGTAAGGATAGCAAAAAAATATCAGGGGCGGTATGCATCAATCTCCCGTTTTGAAAGCGGGCGATCATTTTCAATAGTAAAATGATTGTCCGGCCGGGTTGGCCGCCCGAACGTAATGTATGAAGCTGCGGCCAACCCGGCCGGGCAATCATTTTTCTATTGAAAATGATCGCCCGCTTTCAACACGGGAGATTGATGCATACCGCCCCAGATGTGTCCATACCCGCGATACATTAGCCATGTACTCTAGTAACCTTCGCTTTCAGCGTCATGAGAGACCTTCATATAGGAAAAAAACAGAGTTCATTCGGGGCTTCCCCCAGATGTTAAGATCATAACCAAGTCGAAATAAATGCAAAAGGAGCGAGTATAGGGATTGATATACTCAGAATATACAGCTAAATCGATGGCTATAAAAATTATTTTATAGCCTTTTTACGCTGAACAGAAGATTTTTGTAAAGATTTTCACCAGAATTTGGGACAACACTTCTCCTATAGCTTCGTTTTAGACTACAGTTGAATTTCAGAAGTTCACAAAAGCTGTTGTTCAATGAAAACGAGTAGCAACGCTTGAAGCTTGCGCAGAGAAACGCGCAGAAAATGCTTTTTTATCCTTTTGATGCGTGATTTTCAATGCTTGTGACGTTGTGTTCCTAATCGTGTCATACCGATCAGAATGGTATATGATGTTGTAGGGGTTTCGTTGAGATCCCGCGAAGATCCACGACCAGAGCCAAATACCCCCTTGGCTCTGGCCTTTTCTCCTTTGCTCGTCCGCGGCTCCGCGCCTCGCGCGCTGCGCAACCTCAAAGGGGCGCGGGGCATTTGGCACTGGTACCCTTTCTTTCTTTGTGTTGTACCCAATTCTAGCAAACTACATATCATATTGAAGCTCTTGATCTCTACTTTGATGCTGGCAACGTCACAAAACCCCAAATTTTACCGCATTTTCAGAAATCTCCTTGTTTCGTTTTAATTCTCGATAGATTTTGCTTCTCTCTACAATGGATAACGTCGCAAAGCTTACTTTTTCGACTATGGCAGATTTTTTTGTAAAAAATGGCAAGAAGTGCGTTTTTCTTCTTCAGTGTTTTCACAGCGTTTTACTAGCGATCATTACTCTAAATAATAAGTGCAACAATCCAGACAACTTCGCAGGAAACAGATCGACAATGTGCGGGGTAGAAATTCAAAAGACGCATCAGAACCAAGTTGGCTTTAACGTGCAATTCGGTTTGTTGAAAACCAATTGCGTTTTCAAAACAACTTCTTTTCGCGTTTATCTTCATCTTGATAATCATCCTTGGTTGTATTTGGAACAATCACAAAGATAAATTAGTTATTCCTCGTTTCGCCCCCGTATTATGGATTGCTTGTCCTGAAGAGAAAACCTGCAATTTAAAATGCTATCAAATGGAAGATTCTGAATTCATTGCAGGGTTTTTATCCGGTTTTTAAGAATTTCTTTTGCTTATGCTAAGTTTCTTGCCTTTTCTTCTAGTCTGACTTTCTATAAACAACCTTCACTTTTTTATGAGGGACTAATACTCAAATAAGCTTCACTTTTGAGGCCCTGTCTCTAAATTATCTAAGGCATGGATGTGTTATGATTTATGATTTATGATTTATTTGCCTTTCATATTATTACAATATGAGGCACCCAAACAAACTGATCCATTCTTTTAACGTGAGTGATCTTACTCTTTGCCAATTGCAAGTGCCAGGCTTCTTCTTTCTCTCCATCTCGTTAGGGCCAGTATATCGAGTTGTGTTCTCTTCAGGGCTTCTTGCAGTTCATGTAGTTGGTCTTCGTTTGGCAGGCGTCTCACGTTGAATGTTCCGATGTGTGAACAGTCGTTGTTGGGGTGGAACATACTTGATCCTGCTGTTCCGGGGCTTCCTGGATCAAGGGGTTCGACGTCCGATAGGGTGGGGAAGAGCGGTCAAAATGACTGACCAGTCGAGGGACGTGTAGAAGATGAACTCATGGATGGATGTGTTATATAATACAAAATTTAAGGTGGAGTCGATGTAAAATTTTGTGTTGACTGTACTAGGCATAACTCTGATGCTGACTTATCGTTGACGGATGACGAACATGCGACTTTTTGAGGTTATTTGGAGAGCGATACGTGGATCCAAACCGTTCAGACTGGACGCAGCCATCGATTACAAGACTGAAAGTTTTTGTATAGTTTCAAGATTTATTTGGACGACGGATTCTGCAATAGTACAAGATATCATTTGGCAGCAGAAGAGAATTTGAAATATTTATACTTATTATTTATACTATTTATACTTTACACATACTCATAGATATTTGTGTATTTGCAGACCGAGTTCGGAGATGTTATCGCAGTCTTCCAAGTCATGTCTTTGAGTTTTACAGGAAAGTAATGCCATTTTTCCGTTTTGGCAATTGGAGCTTCAGAGAACAACGCTTGATTCTCTTACAATCTTGTGAAGAATGCACCAAGGTTTTTGCCAAGCTAATGCATACTAATATTCTGCAGAAACATTAGAAGCTAAAACTGTTTGACAACGGGTTTTATTTATGCATAATGAGCGATCAGGTTACTAATCGGAGTTTACGATGCAGTCGCTTTGATACAAATTCACTTTTGAAGCAGCGAGTTCAGAAACATTAGCTATATGATTGTTATCATTAATATCATTCTGCCATAACGATATGTACAATTGAAAGCATTAAGTGAAATGGGGAACTATTTAAGCGAATATTAAGAGAAGTATCAAGGGAACTTTGTGAGATGTAAGGCAAATAGCAAGTCAAATCAGTGTCTAAGGCAGATTATGACGGACTAGAGTGATGGGAAGTGACCGATGAGTTCTTTCACAAAACTCGAGGCTCGATCTCCGGCTTCTTTGGCTGTTTGGAGGACCTCCGCATGCGTTACATCTACGGACGTGTCAGCATCGGTGTTACATCTGTAAAAAAAAATTTGTGGATATTTAAGAATGTTAGTGTTTAGGAGATCTACTCACATATTTGTGATCAGAGAGAATCCGATTACTTTGATACCACATTGGCGAGCGACTGCTACTTCATGGCACGTGGACATACCCAGAGCGTCTCCACCAACTTTCTTGAACATGGATACCTAAAATCGGCTTGTTGTTGGGAATTATAGAGCAACTAGCTGGCATATCCGAACTCCTTCGCGCATTCTCTAACTCTGATAGAATTTCATTCCGTATTTCTATACAATAACTCTCTGTCCTTGCCCTACGCCATTTCGTTTCATTTCGCCCCCAATATGTTTGCGTATTCAGCATGCTCACTTACCCCCCCCCCCCCTTCAGCTTCCAGCTGCTCAGGTCAAAGTTTGCGAATCAGTAAGATCGACAAACACAATGGGTATTTTTCCAGATCGATAATCAATACTTCTGTTTCAAGCACGCTCACTTCTCTGTGCCAACTCTCAGCACAGCCGCTACCAAGGGAAGTTCACTTAGTCGAAGTGGCAATTTGGAAGGAGATCTATAAAAGTGGATAGAGCTTAAAAAGCTGATTTCAGATATGCCTTCTATATCTGCGATGCATTGTTCTAAAAGAAGTTACGAGCTTTTCTAAAGTCAAATTTTCTTGCACTTGAGTCGCAAAATCAAGATAATTTCTACACAAAAGTGTGCAAGCTTAAAGGCAGCGTCCAAGCAGATCTGGACCTATGGGGCTTTTAAATGGAAAGTACTTTTGGGGCCCTAACTAAGGCACTGCCCAAGCGGCAGCTCATGTAGTGCTCTAATGGCTGAGATATTCCCCTCGAAACTGGCTCCCGCGAACGTATTCGCATGGATTCATGGCAGTTTCGCGCCAGGATCCACGCTTTGCGCCATGAATCCATGCGAAACACGGTCGCGGGGTCCAGTTTCGAGGGGAGTATCTCAGCCGTTAGGGCACTACCTGAGCTGCCGGTTGGGCAGTGGCTTATTTAGGGCCCCAAAAGTACTTTCCACGTAAAATCCCCATAGGTACAGACTTGCCTGGACGCTGCCTTTAAGCAAACCACCTAGTAAGCATTGTAGGTCTAATTCAAGTCCATCCGAACGCTTTCGAGTGTTTTCCGACCATGTAGTTCATCCACAGGTCGCCATTTCATTCCTAGATCACACTTCCATCTTATATATAAAGCTGAATATCTGTTTGTATGTCTGTCTGTATGTATGTCTGTACGTATGTTCCGAATAGAAAATTTCATTTCTGAACCGAACCGGACCAAACTTGGCACACATACACTTCGGGCCCCGGCGGGTGTCATAGGCTACTTTCCGTCATCGATCGATATCGATTTTTTGCAAAATTTGAGCTACGGGGCTGGGAGCTGGCACAGGGGGTAATCGAGCATGCTGATCACTCCCGTGGGGGTGATCAACATGCTCGATTACACCCCTCTGTCAAATTTCTGCCCCCAAAATCGACATCGATCGATAACGAAAAGTGGACTGTGACACCCGCCGGGGCCCGAAGTGTATGTGTGCCAAGTTTGGTCCGGATCGGTTAAGAAATGGAATTTTCTATTCAGAACATACGGCGGAGCCGGGTAAGCCAGCTAGTTATGTATACAAAAAAGCTCCATAACCTCCACCTAGAAAAACGCGTCGCGTCGGAAACTTTCTAGAAGTTACCAATAGATGAAACGATGTTCTCAAATATATCTTCAATACCTGCGACGCGTTTTTCCAGATAGAGGTTATGGGCTTTCTTTGTACATATAATGGAAGTGTGATCTAGGAAGGAAATGGAGACCTGTGGATACAACATGGTCGGAAAATACTCGAAAACGTTCGGATGAACTTGAATTAGACCTACAATGCTTACTAGGTGGTTTGCCTAAGCCTGCACACTTTTGTGTAGAAATTATCATGATTTTGCGACGCAAAGTGCACGGAAATTTGGCTTTAGAAAAGCTTATAACTTTTTTCAGAACAAATGCATCGCAGATATAGAAGGTATTTCTAAGATCAGCTTTTTAAGCTCTATCCATTGGTAAAGATCTCTTTCCAAATCGCCACTTCGACTAAGTGAACTTCCCTTGTAAGTCAAAATATCAAAAATGAATGGCATAGATATGTCTTCCAAAGTGAGTATATTACTTTCGTTACTCGCATGTTACTTACTCCCCCCCCCCCCGCCTTTCACCCGCAAAAAGTTGATGGCACATGGCTCGAAGATTGAAAAAATATTGACAAAATCAATATTGTTTTGAAAGTAACCTATAACATCCCGTCTCAAAGTGTATATGCGCATCCAAAGGTATAAAATAGGATTTTCTATTCCGCATATACACATAGACATTCGTTTTTTATTGAACTGCTTTCAAGCGTGTAACTCTCTGAGTAAAATATAAGCTCTAAATACATATTTGCATCTTACAGTGGTCGTGCATGGATCCCAGCACCCTCATAGAGAAGAGGGAAAAGATTCCCAGGTTAGAAGATAGAAAAACTCAAGAAAATTCTTGGGTCACTGCGGACTGCAGAACATTTATCATGGACGTGTGATCTTTTCGATATAATAGGCATCTAAGAGGCAACTGTATTGCTCGCGCAAGTAATGTTAATGTTTTTGTAGACAAGCACTCCTTTCTAAACCGGAGAATGGATGAAAATAAAGTGTATAGTATGGAACCAGAGGATTGTATAATAGTATGGAATTATCTACATCTAACCAGCATTGATTTCGAACATTCTAATTTAATTCTCAACTTCTAGATGAGGAAAAATGCATATGTACATATGCATAGCTGGTGTCATAAAAGTTTTGCGAAAGTCGGACGTTTGTAGGGTTTTTTTACAGAGATCCGATTTTTGGCAATTGAAAATTTTTGGATATTTCCTGACTTTCCGTGCCTTAAATTTTCTGACTCAACTTGAACCATCTCGTAGGGCTTGCTTTGGACCGGATTATATGTTCCATACATTTTCAAACCTTCCTGCCACTTCAGGTCAAGGAACATGCATCAATTTCGCATCAACTGAAGAGCATAGTATAGAACCTAAAAAATGTGATACCTCGGCAGGTGACTCGTACAGGGGACCGCCAGTCATTACGTAGACACCTTCAAACAAACGCATTTCCCTCTCTTTAGCGATTTCCTTGGCAAGGTCCCTGAATGCAAGTATTTAGCCGTATCCGAAGTTGATAGGTTCAAAGAGTACCTTAGAGGTTTGTCGTAGGCATCATGCATTGACACAAATCTCGCGCCAAAACGAGGATCATTCAGTGCAACCATGGGAGAGAATCCACAAAGTGCAGGCATGAATATTTGATCCTGAAATACCAGAAAATTATTCGATGAATTCTCGAGGGATAAAAAATTTAGACCTTAATAAGCATAAGATCTCCATGTTTGAAGTTTGGGTTAACACCACCAGCAGCATTCGAGACGACTAGGATTTTTATACCTAACTGATGCATAACTCTCACGGGAAACGAACACTGAAAAGCACAGAAATAATTCTTCCCAACTTCTTGTTCTAATTTGGAAAACTTTTCCAAAAAAACGGAAGAGAAATGATTTTAAGAGCATTTACCAAAGCGAGGTCCATATGGTGTTCATATGGATGAAATCGTCCTTGCATACAGACTACGTCCTTCCCATTCATTTTTCCAAATAGCAGATTTCCCTTGTGTCCAACGACTAAAAAGAAAATTGTGACTTCACTAAAAAAATTGTTGCAGCTGCAACGTGCTCCCCTAAGCATTCGACAATGAAAATTAAAAATGAAAATTCAACTATGTCTACAAAAATTTTAATTTTTTTTAGCAGCATAGTGCATCAGTGTTTCGGAATTTTTATTCAATGTGAATTGTAAGTGCCAAAATCAAAATTTAGCTTGTGTTTCAATCAAACAGTCCCTCATGTATTTGCTTCTTCGCCTGTTACTAATCACTTGCTTAATTTGCGCTTGTCACTCTTCATTATAATCATCTGAACTATTGGACAGGATTTCGCGCAGAAAAAACGTAATCAGCCAATTTGCTTTTGTTCGCTCTTCGCAGTGGAATCAACAGTTCAGGGTCGTCATGCGTCCAAGCGGTTCCGTGTCACTGCTGATTTAACAATGAGATGGATAGCTCGAGTACGTGAGCTATGCTAGATGTTGAGAGCAAATCGCTATTCGTACGGTAGTGAGTTTTGATTTCCTCGTTAAATTGAAAAAATTTTGTGGCGACCCATACCCGAAAACCAGGAAAAAACAGAAATCTAAAAAATCACTGTTAACCATAATAAACTATTTACGAAAGCAAGTCAGCACATGTGAGATAAATAAATGCAAAAAGGGAATACTACTAATGTAGTTAGCTTCAAAATTCTATGCGATGCACATTATGAAGGAACACATGATACAAAATCTAAAATGCTCAAAATGAATAAAAGTAATTCATTACTGTAGTGTTTTACTGGAATTTAGCTTTCGAAGCTTCTAGCTTCAGAAACAAAAGTTAGATCTTTACAATAGCTTTCTAAGCAAACAATCAAATTCCGGTACTGGCCCATAATTCCTTCAGTAAGGTTTGATATAATGAAGAATTTGCTTAGTAAGTGCCCATAACAGCTATGAAAGTGCCTGTTTTTATTCGAGCTTGATATGTTTGACATCAGATCATCACTTTTTTAAAAATGGAACATTTTCTGGGCAAGCGCACGCTCTTTGTCAAGTCGACTGTTTGATTGAACTACGTCATAGGAGTCCTAAACGGAAATCATGCTCTCCTTTACAAAACAAAGTATGTTTTGCTTGTACAAAGATAGCGCCTAAACAAATAACGATAAATACAGCTAACGCTCACCATGGACGGATGGGAATCCGGGAATTTTTTCATAGGGTAAAACAATGGGATCTTCGACTTGATCACCAATCGGTCCGAGGCCAGATCCGCAAATAATACCAATTTCAGCGTGTGCCTTATCGCCAAGCTGAGATTTGATGGAGGCAACGACTGCCAAAAGATCGTCAAAGGAGCGAGGACTGAAGGAGGTTGTACAAAACAGCGAAAAGTTCTCGTATATTAGATTAGGGAAGCACTCACTCGATACTTTTGTGTGCAGGATCAGTGGCATTGTTGTTGTTGATGGAGGCCATGTCTAGAATGACAATCAATTCAGTAGAAGAAAAGAATGATTAGTTGTTATTCGATGCAAAAACGGCCACGTGGTGAAGTTACATGGCTGATGACGATGATCGTAGAATGGGAACGAACACTTTGCTGAGAGCGACTGATTGTCTGTGTCTATTGTTGTGTTCGTGTCTTCCTTAGCATCCATTTAGCGCAAAAACATTGTTATGTTTCTGAGCAAAATCAATCGTTCAAGTTCGATTTCGAACTTTGTCCATTTGTGCAAACCATCAACTGTTTTCCTCCTCACAAGGAATACTTGTTTAATTGAAGTGGCTTTTTCAGATGGGATGTATACCATATTAAAGGGCATAAAGTGCTAATTCCAAATCTGCTTTCCTTATCGCAGAACGTTTATGGACGAGGACTTATGAGCGCTTATTGGAGCAAAAAATTGAATGCGCAACTAGGACAAAAATGGTCGTAATACTTCTTTTAGCTCTTCAACTGAGAGTGATAATTATCAGAGCACTTTGTTCAGCAGATACTTCAAAAAAAGTATATCACAAATGATTGCTTTATTTGAGGGCTAGTAAGATTTAGCAACTCTTCCCAAAATGCGCATTCAATTTTTGTTTAACACATTGACCACAGCTTGACACACATGGTGTGTCAAGGCTTGGCACACCATGACTCCCATTGAAATGGCTACTAATTTGTTTCAAATCAACTCTGGGGGTTTTCTTTTATGCTGAATCTAGATGCAACCTCTTCTGTTTCTGCCAGCATTCCAACACTACTGTAGATGTACTGCAAATGGAATTGTGCGTGATTTTATCTGAACAATGTTGACTGGTCCGAGAAAGGCTTTAGTCATCAATGTGTTAAAAACGCTCATAACTCCTCGTCCATTAATGTTCTGCAAATAAGGATGGCAGGTTTGGAATCAGCGTTTTATGCCCTTTGATATGGTATGCATATCTTTTAAAAAGGCCGCTCGACTAAACAGCTTGTCAAATAAGGAAAGAGCAGCGTGTCCGTCATTAACAACTTTAAATTGCATGATCTCGCGGGCAAGATGTCTAAACTGCTGTTTCCAGTTCTAAAAGCTTAAGATCAAAAGAGCTCCACAGAATGGTGCCCATTAATCTTCTACAGACGTAATTTTGGTAATTTTCATTGCAAGGAGGAAATGACGCTAGTTGCAAAACTTTCTGTCCGTTCTTTGAATAAACTTGTTGTAGAAAATTTTAATTGAAATTTTGAAGACAATTCCGGAAAGATGTTAGAAAACTAGAAAATTTGTTGCGCTTTACCCATTCTCAAAATGTCTGGAAATAAAACTGAATTTGGTTGTCTTCTCTGTTCGGACTTACTTGTGTTAGAGATAGCTATTACGCAGTTTGTGATTCAACATTATCGGCATTTATAAGGTATCACTCAAATTAATCGTGCCAAACACCGCGATGGATAAGCCTAAAAATCTGCACAGTTCTGGATTTGTAGCCTCCATTTTCTGCTCTGTAAAATGTCTGAACAGCTTCGGTTTTACTCAAATGTTTCACTTTTTTTGTTAAACATCAGGTGCAAGTAGAGACATTTGGAGTTACAGATAATGGCCATCAGTACAGCTCATCGCCAGCTTCTGTATTTGCACATGGTCTCAAATGACTCTTTAGTTGACAATAAAGCTTTGCAAACACTGAAAGTGACATCGTCGAATCTCTTGAACGATGTGCACGAATATCGAAGCCAAAACTTCAACTTTATAGTTTTTCTTATTATATGTTCGGTCCCCACACCTTCAGTTTTCGGAATTGAATCAGCTCATTATCTCCATTACGTAAGCGGATTTTCCTCTAGTTAATCTAGACCATTAGAAAATAAACAGATTTCATACTATATGATAAGGAGAACAGATAAAGAAGTAAAAATCACAAAAGTCAAGATACTAAAGTAGCTTATTGCTAATTATAACAGTTTGCATCTGAGTTTTGAAAGAGCATGAGTTTTGATATGGAACGTAAACAGAGCGGGATTTGCATTTTTTTCAAAACCTGCTAAAATTGTGAAAACTAACATACATATAAACCAGCGAAGTGCCTATGGAGATTTTCTGAAGAAAAGGAAAACGTTCACAAACTTTCAGTTCTCCTTTCTTGTAGCAGATCTTGTGAGAATGTGTAAAATCGAATTCAGAGGGCATGTTTCTAACAAAAGAATTAGCGTAACCTACTTAGCGTATTGCATATTTTTTGTTTGAAAGCCTATTTTACCCAATGTTACCTCAAGCCTATTTTACCCAATGTTACCTCAAGCCTATTTTACCCAATGTTACCTCACTTCACCCAGTAAGCAAAAACATATGTTGATTAATTGGCAATGCACCAGAAAGAGCTATGGAAGTGGAGAATTGAAAGATAATGGAAGTCCACTATGGCATGACTTCCAATTACTTCCTTTTGTAATGTAGACAGCTTCAAAAATCTTGCGTGGGGATGGCATGTATCAAAGAAAAAAAGGAAAGTGATGGATAGTTGCGCACTGACTTTATAAGAAAAAACTTAATTTTTGGCCGTGGAAGGTAGGCAATTTGATATAAAGAAGCGGTGACGAGAAGTGGACAGGGTGATGGATGACGCGAAGTTTTAACAACGCATATCACTTGCCCTCACACCGTTTCAAGGCCATCAAACGCAATCACATTGGGACAAAACCCAATCTCTATATTCTTTTATTTCAAGAGGCTATAGCAATAATTTGATATGTGGAAGTTTTACATTTACCAAAGTACATCAATTACGGCCACTTTCATTCTAATGCTATCAGGTTTCTAACAAACAAGATTATGCCGGTGCTAACCAATCATAGGGCTCTCGCTCACAGATCCTTTCATTTTGAGCACATTCATAGAAAGACTACAAAAATTTTCTGGACATCCAATATAAATATATTTGATCAAAACTACATTAGTCCTACTGGCTGGTAAGTTGCAATGGGTCCCTTTTCGCTTGAAATTAGGAAGAAAAAAAAGAGGAAAGCATCGGGCCTTAAAGGAAACGTCACCCTATTTTTGCTCTATTACAGAGCATCAAAAAGAAGATGTGATGTTAGAAATGCATAAATATAAAGGCGTATACTATTAACCAAATAGGTACCGGTTGCTTGAATCTCAGTTCAATAAGTTTTAATTAGTTCTTGAAAATTGCTTTACACTTCTTCTTGATAAAAAAAACCCCTTTTTATAAGTACCAGCAGAATGAATTCAGAGATCAGCCCAAGACGAGCTGATATGTCGATGCTTTTCAATGACTTAGGGGAGAGAATTTGCAAAAACTGCAAAAACTTTTCAGTTTTCATGTGCGCGTAACGCTAGCTATTTACACTGAGCTAGAATCTATGTACATTTGTTCCTCTGTACACTTAATTAGCAACGGCCGTGCAATGTCAGATAAGCTCCTTAAACGCCTTATATTGAGTGGCTAATACTTCATCTACAGTTAAGAAGGTACCAAATATCACATTAAGGTCATACAGTGAAATAACATTGATTTTTGATTGGTATTAGTTGTCGTATAAGCCTTCCAACTTTAGCGCCAAATTTTATTTCTCAGAGGCTAGGGCACACGAAAAATATATGAGACAACCTAATATAACCTGACAAGAGGCTAATCGTAGTAGATCTCCTACGCAAGTTTTGCTGTGTTGGATAGACTATGTCCCGAGCGTTTGAAGGCACCCTCCACCCAAAATGAGATTAGTGACCTTTGTCGTGTAGTAGCGGGACCCCTTACTAAATGATCGACCAAATTCCTCTGGAAGCGAGAAAAACGCCTCAGAAAGAAAAATTTGCTCAGGTAGGTCCGTCCATCATCGTGGGTGCTCTGAAGATAAGAAGCCCAAAATCGGATTTCTATTTATCTAGAGTTGTCATAAATCCGCCCTCTCTTTCCAAGCCTGAAGCCCGCTTTCGAGTTTATTGTTTACAGAATGTCCCCGTCGATCGCTTCTAACTTCCGGAGCGATTTTCTCGCTTTGGATCATCTTCTGCAGCGGGACTTGAGCGATCACGTAAGGGCCCCGCTATTATATAGCACAAAATCTCAGAATTCTCAATTTGGGTGGACGGTGTCAAGGTTAAGCTGATTAAAGTCATGCATTCGACACGTTCGAATTGCATAGGATTCCCGCCGCTTTATTTCTTGACACTGAGAACGTCATTAGACTGCGATAATCTTCGATTTCATAACGCTATAAATCACAGGAACAAAGCCCTCTTATATTTGCATTATCGTCTTTGCAACAAGGGGTGCAAGCTAATTTTCTGTTCCCATGTTGTCACGCCATCAGATTGCAACGTCCATCGCGAAACGTCACCACAAAGCGGTGGAGCTTTGATCTCAGTCACTATAGGCTTTCTATGAGAAAAGCGAGTGACTCTATCTAGGTTGATACCAGAAGAGTACTAATTCAAATTTACTACATGAGAATTACCATGAATAAGCGAGGCTTTCGTAAATTTCGTTCGAAGCATGGTATCATAATTTGCTTTTTTAATTTTTGTTCACAGCTCCTCACCTCAGAAAGGTATACATGAATTCTTGTGGAAAAAAGAAAGGGAAGTTACCACGTTCTTGGATGAAGAAGTGTGTTTTGCCCATATTCATCGGAGAGTTCACTAAAGCTTCTTTTCCCAGAAGAAATTTTCGCAAAAGAAAATAACCTTTTCAGAATATAGTTGTACAAAAGTTGTGGGTCTATTTTACTTATTTACAATCGCATTTACTTGCTTTAGAACCCATTAATCTACATCCCAAATTTTTCGAACCATTTCCTCAGTTTTATTACTTCTCGCATGCAGAGGAATATTGCAAGTGATCTAAAGGTGAAAAGCGTATGACTCTACGAGAGAATTGAATTTTGATGCGAACAACGCAAAACAGGGTAGACAAACAGGATAGGCGTACGGATCATTATCTAATCATGCTGGTTTTGAGTAACAAATTTTCTCTCCCTTTCATCACACCTCGTCCTCATTACATATCGCGAACGGACTGTGAATAAAGACAAATTTACAAGCGTTGTTTGCAAACGGGTAAGCACGTGGGGGCGATGTTAGTATGACATTTAAAGCTGTAATATAATTTCGAAATTGTCTGAGTTGTCAAAATAGCCACTGACCTTTCGTCTTGAACATATATTCAAACCAGCTGTTAATCCAAGCCATCATTGGGATTAGCTATAGATGTAGAGTTACGGAATAATTTGAACCTATCAGAAACCGGAGTCCGCAGAAGTTGCAGTCACCGAGCTGTCTACGCTTCCCCTACGCGATTTTTAAAGCTATCACTCTCTGATGAAATTTGCTGATAAGGGCGCCTGCAAGGGCCTCCTCCTTCAGAAGTGAGGAATCACCAGGTGCTGCTTCCGCGTCTTACTTAGTGGGCTATGCGTAACGTACAAAGTTCGTCGGCAATTTAGATAACGAGCCCTAATTATGGCTGATGGTAATATTAAAAAATCTTTAGCAGTCACAAATTTTTTTTACTGGAACTCTCTAGAATGTTGTGTTCAGATTAGCTGCATCGCTGGCAGAATCTGTGCCGGATTTTGCTGCTCATAAACCCTGGTAATTTGAAGATCTGGAAAAAATTTCAAATTTTCAAATCCAAAACCTGGATATGTACTCCTTCATTATGAGATCACTCCGCAATATTTTTCGTTGTTCCTACGTATCTTGATCACTTCAAATAAATTCGAGGTTGATAATTTTCTGAGTAAGGAGATGCGCTTTAGATGCATTTCAAAAACCTTTACAGTCGTCTATTTCCAAGAAAGCTTGGTGCTTGTTTTTGCGGCTTTTTGCTTTAATTTTTCGTTCAAAAATCAACAGAAATCGCGACTTCGCAAAAAATCAAGAAAGTCAGACAAAAGGTTCATGATTCTGAAAAACACTTTCTCCTAACCTTTTACCTATTTGATGACTGTTTGTTAGTTTCATGAAAATCAGTAAATATTCAAAAAGATAAAGTTGAACAATGATGAAAATGACACGCCACGAACTCCAATAGCTATCTGGGCTTAGACCAAAGTTTCTCATTTCGAATTTGTTTGTTAGAAAGAGGATACAATGTCAAATCATGCATCCAGATTGTCTCAAATGCTCCTTGTCAACATTGGCTGTTCAATTTCGAAGTGCCTATATATGCTTACATTTTGTCTAGCTTCAGTGCCAAAATATTAAATCACACAAAATTATTCAAATCTAAAAAAGCTTGACTGATAAGGTGTGAATGTTTGGAATAGCAGTTAACTCTCGCCCTGCTGTTCTATCGTAACTGCTGCAAAACAAGCAAAACAAAATTTCGTTGCTGCCCCATATCACGTAATTTCTGCAGTCTAATCGTAACTCTCAATCTTTAAAAATCACGTTGATGGTTGAAATAAAACAACAAGGGAGATAAAACTAGAAGGACTAGGAAGATAAAAGCCGCAAAAGAAAGAATTTATTATCATGTTAAGCAGTCACGAACAAACTTATGGCTCGAAACTCAAACCATGCCATTCAAACCACTTATTCTTGGAGTCTGCTGAAGCAAAGCGTACGAACGACCGAAATGAGATTTGTAGTGCCAACAAAGAAAAGAGAACAGGGTGCCGCTTCGAATCGGAACAAAGGCGCGAAAATTCTGAACGCCCGCAACGAAAGTTCAGACTTACGAAAAAACAAGGGCGAATCGCGGCAATTCAAACTCTTTCTCAAACTATGAGCCGCTATTTGAGCAGTAGCTATAGAGATTCAAAAAAGTCAAAGCAGCTTACTGATTCGTCACTGTCCAAAAATTAGCTATTGAGATTTTTCAATTTCACGTATTGAAATTAAAAACGTATTTGCTTGGCGGTTATGCGTGCAAACGATTACAGTCGGAGATAGCTTAGCTAGGCAAGAAAAAATAGAGGGAAAAACGTTCTGTTTGCGGAGCTGGTGAGGGGTGGTCAAACTGTGAGGTCGAGGTAATCTGATAAGATACTCACAGCTCGAACATTTCAGGTATTCACTAATATTTACCTGAGTATTCTTTAAAGAAACTTTGAGCAACTGTTCAGTTTTTGCACAAGTTAAAAAACTGGCGGTATTGTATATAAGACGGCAAAAAAGGCACAAATTGCTATCAATCGGCCATAGCTTGGCTGCGCAAATTAGGTGAGTAGAAAATTTTCGGAGCCTTCAAGAAATTTGAACTACGGTTTATTCTTCAAAGTGGTCGTATGAGGATGAACGGTGATTCAACTACCAATATTTTCCGGCTTATAAGCAGCTGAGACCCCCTATACAGGTATGTATGTGATCGTTCGTTAACATCTCTCTTCCCGAGAAGTCTTTTGCGCACCCTCAGGCACCATTTTGTAGAGCTGGCTTCGGGTTAGATTTATATTATGGAGCGAAAAATTAATTTCTCTTCGTTACTGTAGAACTAGGTAGGAACTTTTGGCTTACAATGTCATTATGGATTAGTCGCGTTTCAAAAAAAGCTTCCTAAATTCTAAGGTGCATGGGGGTTTTTGCGCCCCGATATCATTACTCAACTTGGGAGTATGTGAAATTTTTAGATGGACTATCACAGTCTCAGGAGGCATTTTAAAGGACAGCTCTTGCGGTTTACCTGGCATGAGGAAAGGAGCGTTGCGGTAAAATGCAAAGTTCATATTTGGATACAGCGATTTTAATTAGCCTAGCGTAGAAGATTCCAACTTGCTTCATTTGCTTTTGAGGCGAAATGGGGCCCTCAATGTCTCAAAACGCTTTTTGAAGTTCCTAACATGTCCCTACAACACTGAAGAATGATGGGTGTTTAGCACCATACTAAAAATCTAAGCTGAACCTCGATTTACGGAATAATACTAAAGTTTGCCGAAATGCATCAAAGCAAGACAGTTTTTAACGATCAAACAGTGTGTACTACTTTTGGGACACCCTGTATAAGACGCACCCGCAGCAAAAAGTTGTGGCAAACTGAAAACTCAATGCGTTTTGTGAGTCCTTCAATCCTTTCGATGCGTATTCTACGTTGGTATCGTAGGAGGGAGGGAGTCCTACACGGCTTCAAACTGAAAGCATTGTATTATGCTGCCGAGAATGCCGGCCAAGCTTCTTCACATTTCGGTGTCGACAGGATGATCAAAGATGGCGAAATGAACAGGAAAAGCTTAGAAAATGCGACAGCCCAAGAGAGCGTTCAGACATTGACTAGCATCAGGAAAAGAGTGGAGGGGATGAATTATTAGGCAGCGAGTGAAAGGAAGAAGAGTTGCAACCGTAATGATGAATGAGAAATAGAGACAATTGCTACAAACAAGTCACAATGGAGAAGAAACCGAAAAAAAAGAAAGCGGAAAATAGGCTGCCTGTGCGGTTTGCTAGACTCCGCATGAGAGGGCAAGGTCGTTATGAATCAATGGATGTCGAGAAACTTTTTAAGAGAATTCGAACATTCAGTTCTTCTTCAAAGAGCTTCTGAAGGCACTTTTCCCTAAAACAATCCTTACTTCTTTTCGCTCAAAACGGGAAGTAAAGAGGTTGAAAGCAGGCGAAATCAGCCAACCATGTGTGAGCGCATAGTACCAGCTGAATGTCTAACTTGCATGAGAACGTGCAGTTTCAAAGTGTTGCAGTACACAATTTTGGTAATGCGACAGAATAAATACAAAAAGATCGCGCGGAAATCACGTATGGATTAGAAATAAACGATACTATATGGGTTGCTAATCTATGCTCAACAATGTTCCAGTCTGTACGTAAAAAGAGCTTTTAATCTATTTCGAAACGTGTAAGCCGAAGAGCACCTGCCAGTGGGGATCAGAGGAGAATTTTTCGGTAAATCCCCAAGTTTTTGAAAAATCCGCATGGTCCTTATGGATTGAACCTATGATTTGAAGCAGTTGCTATATAAACCTCAGCAACAGACAACTTCACGGTTCTTGAACTCGAGTGTAATCTGAAACTGAGAGAGAAGGTGTGTTAGCAACGATTTTGGTAAACTCAGCAGAGAATGATGGAATTTGCGATGCAAAGATAGGATTCTTTAGAAGCATTTGGTCGCATAATAAAACAAAATTCTAAGATTTTCTAACATGTGAATAATTTTTTTACGCATCTCTGCCTCAGTGTGCAAGCGAAGAGCTATTACCAACAGTTTTCATATTTTGACCGAGATAAATATGCTTTAAAATTAAATCCCGTCGTCGAATCGCCCAGCGTTGGTATTTAGACTATTAGTAATTAAACTGATAGTAGAAGAAATGGTGGAAAATTGTGTGATAAGTCACATATAATAGTCAACAAGTGCCGATAGATCAAGACTAGATCACGTACGACCCGGCAGGTTGTGCGCTGTGAAAACGGTGCTGAGATAAAATTCATCGTGCATGGATTCGTTCATTCTCCTTGAATTATCAGGCAGAGGAAAGTGCCCTATTACTTCTTGCGAATTTTCTTAGAGCCTGGGCCATATTAGAAATGTGAAATTATACATAATTAAGGATGAAAGAAGAAAGGTTATGATAAGACAATAAGTGAAATTTAGTTGTCTTTCTAAATAAAACTTTAGGCAAAATAGAATTACGTATTTTGCTAGTGCATTACCAAGTCGTACATAGGTTAAGAAAGCAAATCGTTGAAGAAGTACCAACAAAGCGCATATGTGTACTCTCCGGGGAGTCATGGCAAACAACAAGGTGAAAGGCGTTACAATGCAATGTCCTCTGTTTGTTGATACAGTCAGGGCAATTCACAACCAGCTGAGGTTATTTTATGACCCTCAGCACAACTAGTTCGGCATACTTTGTACCAAAAGGCAAGCGTAATTTTCTAGTTCTAAAGGTAGGACTTACTGCTTCCTATTTTTTGAAAAACGAGCAATATGCGCTATCAACACAAAGGCTGCAATTGATGTCAAACAATCGATACACGTCATCAACATCCACATCAAACACTGTTTAGAATATATACAGAGGGCGTAATCACCTCTAGATTGAGTACCATAGTGATCTTTTTGCTCAAAAAACAAATCAATGTTTCAGCAAAACGAATAGTATAGCTTACAGCTTGGATACAATGACAGAGCAATGCTGGAAGGGATTGCACTTTTGATGGCTTCGATCCAGAAAAGTGCAGCTGCTCCCAAAACTGCTACCATTATTGTGCTTTCCGAGCCAAAACTCCTCTGATTTAGGTGTAATATGCTCAAGACGTCCAAGATTTTCTCAAAATTGTCCAAAAATAGCCCAAAAAAGCCCAAAAGCGCCAGAAAGAGCAACGCC